ATAAAAACATGACCTAAAAGTTTTCATGAAAAATTGACATCAAGAATGTTAAATTATGAAAATATCTTTAAAGGGTATTTTGATAATTTTATGTTTTTCAAGGTGTAATCAAGGTTTTTAATGTCTATAAATCATAAAAATATGATCTAGAATTTTTCGCAAAATTTCGATCTTGAAAAGATCAAATTATAAAAATACCCTTAAATGGTATTTTTTTAATTTTACATCTTCCAAGGTGCGATCAAGGTTTTTAAAGCATAAAAAATTATGAAATAATATAAAAATATTATTTGGAGTCTTTCACAAAAATCCAACATCTAGAAAGTCAAAATTATAAAAATATTTTTAAAAGGTATTTTGATAATTTTACCCTTTCCAAGGTACAGTCAAGTTTTTAGTGCATCAAAATCACAAGAATATTAATTCTAAGCCTTGATAATCCCTTAGGTTGTAAATTTCAAGGGTTAACCCAAGTTCGACCAAATTTGATCGATTTTAACCAATTTTGATTTTATTTAACTAAGTTGGACCACAAGGCAATTAAGTCAAATTGATCTTGAATTTAATTTCAAAAATTTTATCAACATTGGATTCAAACTAAGCCAGACTTTAAAGGCTAAACAGTTGGTTAGAATTTGTCTGAATAAAATTAAGTGTCTATAATTAAAGCTTGCATTAAAGTTCAATTAAACTCAATTAAGTGAAGGAAGTAAAGAAAGAATAGGTAAAAAAATCTCCCATGTAAGGCATTTGAGCAAATGCACATTAGTTTAGGACTAATGAAGCTTTTTGCATAAAAATGCATCCAAAATGAGTCCAAAAGCTCTCATTTTTTTCTTTTCTCATTTTTTTACCAACACATTGAATATTTATGCAATTAGGAGTATTTTTGTCAAATTTGTTAATGAACAAGCAAATGTTCATCATAAAATTCCCTAAAAAGATATGATAAATCACTAAAATTTTAGTATAATCATGTATCAACTGGCTAATTTAACAAAAAAAATAGTATTCGTCATACACCTAAAGTTTATAATCAATTTAATATTTTTATCATATCATATGAATTTGAGAATTTTTTTTTCTAAATATATATTTAACAACTGAAATTTTTATATCAGATAAATAGTTAAACATTTTATGTTGACTTAAAATTTGACATGAATTTATTTACATGAATAAAGTATGAAATAAAACAATCATGTTAAGTAAATATAAAGTGTATAAAAAATTATGAAACGTATACAGTTAAAGTATTTTTTCATCGATATAAGTGGATATTTTCCCTTACATATATATACACACACAAACACACGTATTTGTCATCTAACAATTACCCCATGATTTTAAGCCTATAACTGATTTTTGTTACATTTTTTTATTTTATAACTTTTTTCAAAGGTATATTCTTAATTTTTATAGGAAATTTTTCACAATAATTTTTACTTTGGGGCACAAATGGCTCACGATCTTTTAATCATTTTTATTTGGCTATGTAAAAACATAATTTGACATGTATAATTAGTATGAATATAAATATGAAATACAATGTTCAAATTTTAAAAATATAAATTCAAGTATAAAAATATATATGCTTTCCCTCTTTGTGATGCATATAAAAAATATTAATAAATTTGTAAATGAATTTGAAGTGATACTATTTTTAACTTGTAACTTTCTTTCGATGTAACATATTATTATTTTGATTTTTTAATTCGGTTTATGCTTTTGCTCGCATTTTATCTTTTGTTAATGGTTATGTAAATTATATTTATCTCTTAACAAAAAAATTTTTTTAAATCACATGCTATACAGATTTATGTAATAATATAATAATTAGCTTTCTTAATTTTTATAATAAAATATATCAATTAAAAAATATTTTAAACAATTATTTTATTACCTATTTGAATAACCAACTTTTTAATATATTCAATTATTCCATGATAAATGTTCATTAATATTACTCAATTATTACATAAAATAATTTTTCTCATTAAGCAATACATAAATCATGCTTTAAACTCTCAAACCCAAAATTAAAATATTTTTAATAAATTTATAATTTTATTTTTTTAATCTCTATAAATATTTATATAATATATTATGTATGCAATGTATCATATAATTAAATGAATAAAACTAACCAATGCATCGCACTACTCACAAAATAAATTTAAAAATATTATGTAAAATCTAAAATAATATAAAATATATCCAAAATCACTTTGTACAAAATCATTTGAAACCATGCTAAGAAGTATTTGTTTATTATAGATTAATATTAACTTACATTCTTTAATATATTATATAATTATATAATTACATTCTAACTGCCAATAAAGTAGTAGCTCATATGGCATATATGCTAGTGAAATTTTGAAAGTTTTAGTTTTAGAAGATTTAGACGTGAAGATACTCATTAGATGAATTAAACAGATAGAGTTTGAGATTAATAGTAGATTAAAATCAAAGAAATATATTCTAACTTCATTTTTTTCACAAATTAATCACTTATATCTATTTAATATATCCATACTACACTAGATGAAAAGAGTCCCCTGAGGATTCTTCATATGACACTTATCCAATGTTGTTAAATTATCATTGTAATCTTATTCATCGTTTTTGTTTTTAATTATTTTACTTTATTTGTATGTTTATTTTATTTTGTTTTTATTTAATTATTTTTGTATTTTTAAATTTATTTTAACTTGTTACTTATTTAAATTAGGATAGATTTTGATTAGTTAAAAAATAATAATTCTTTAAATTTAAAAAATATAATAAAATTTTGAAAATAAATAAATATATTCCAATGATGAAATTTTAATAATCAAAATAGTTGATTTTCTAAGAAACTTCTATATAAGACATTTTTACAATTTTACCCAAATTAAGGAAAATTTTAGAAAAAAAATCAATAATGATAATTGTTATTAATTTTTGAGCCAAAAATAAAATATATTAAAATTTTGAAATTAAATAAAAATAATTTCGAAGATAAAATTCATAAAAATCATGAATAATTGATTTTCTACGAAAATTTTATATAAAAATGTTTTTAAAATTTGACCCAAATTATAAAAAAAATTTAGATAAAGTTTTAATAATGATAATTGACATTTATTTTCAGGCAATAATAAAATAAAAGTGAGAAATTTATAAAAATAATAAAATAAATTTTAGAACTAAAATTTAGACTTTAAAAAAATAATAAATTCAATAATGAAATTTTTAACAATTATGAATAATAATTTTTTAAGTTTTTAAGGTAAAAATATTTCTAAATGTGATTCATATGGTAAAAATTTTCATTAAATAAAATGATAAAATAATTTAATTAACCATCATGTAATGAGATATAAATGTAAAATATATATAAATAATTATCGAGTCTTCTGAGTTTCAATAAGAATCATTTAAAAACATAACATTGGGCTACACATGAGTCTTCAATCTAGACTCATTTTAAAAAAATATATTTTATTTGTTCTCAATCCATATAGCCAACTTGATATTTCTATTATAAATTTTTAAAATTTTGAGTACAATTTCAGGTGATCAACTTTAAACAAGTTTAATTTAATCCAAAGCCCTATCAATTAGAATCCACTCAAAATCAAATATAAATATATATATATTCACTTATATTAGTATAATTTTTATATTTTTTGAATCATTGAATCAAAATTATTAAATTTAAAAAAATTATTTTGATTCATAAATTTAATCTCAAATGAATTATAAATTTAATTTTGATATAAAATTTTAAAAAATATATAAAAATTATACTAATGTAAGTGAATTCCTTATCTAGTTATATATTAAAAGTTAAAAAATCACTTAAATAAAATATTTTTTCTCAAGTAACTGCAAATGGTTTAAATGGACCCAAACGTAAGTTTGAAGTCTCTGTGTATGTGAGTGTATCATCCGACAAGTAATTGGAGTGTTGAACGAGAATCGGAGTTTGGAATTTGTTTGGTGAATATGATGATGATGAGGTGTTGGAAAATCGCTTCTCTTCCTTCTTCTTCTGCCATCGAGTAACCCCAAATCTGTCAATTCTATTCCCTTCTCTTTGTTGAATTGTTTTTCTGCTTTAAATAAGGAAAGCCCTCTCTTATATTCTAAAAAATCTTACTTCTGTACCACCCCCTGCAAGAAATCCAAGTATGTGTTTGATAAAATTGATGATGCCTTGGCTTTGTTCGATCACATGCTTCGTACCCATCCCCGCCCTTGTATTGTTGAATTTAATAAATTATTTTCAGCCATTGTTAGAATGAAGGATTATGAAATTGGCATTTCTCTGTTGAGACAAATGGAATTGCTAGGAAATCATCACAGTGTTTCTACTCTCAGCATCTTGGTTAATTGTTTTTGGCGCTTGCATCGTATGGATTTTGGGTTTTCTGCTTTGGGGGAAATGTTGAAGCTGGGCATTCAACCTAATGTTATAACATTCTCCACTTTGATCAATGGCCTCTGCATTGGAGGTAAAGTAGCTCAAGCTTTGAGGTTGTCTGATGACGTTTTTGTTAGAGAAGTTGTCAGCCTAATTTATTTACCTATAATTCGATAGTCAATGGTCTTTGTAAAATAGGTGAAACTACTAGTGCTATTAGATTGCTGAGGACCACGGGAGAAAGAGGTTGTGCACCGAACACTATACCATTCAACATCATAATCGACAGCCTTTGTAAGGACAATCATGTAACTGAGGCGTTTAATGAAATGAGAGGTATAAAGGAATTCCACCTGGTGTTGTCACTTATACTTCTTTCATTCATGCTATATGTAATTCATGTCAGTGGAAGGAAACTACAGCATTATTCAATGAAATGGTGGCTACCAATTGCAGACCCAATGTGATCACATATGGTAGTGTGGTTGATACACTTTGCAAAGAGGGTAGGGCTTTATAGGCTCAAGCTATTCTTGAGAGAAGGATTCAACAAGGTATAGAGCCTGATATAGTTACATATAATTCATTGATGGATGGATATTGTTTACGAGGTGAAATGGACGAGGCTAGAAAAGTATTCAATTCAATAACCAATAAGGGTTGCACACCTGACGTAGTTAGTTACAGTATCATTATTAATGGATATTGTAAAGCTAAAAGGATAGAGGAGGCAGAGACACTTTTTCATGAAATGACTCGAAGTGGATTAATCCCTAATGTTGTTACTTTCAGCACTCTTATTAACGGCATGTCACAAACTGGAAGACTTGCTGTTGCACAAGAAATTTTCAAAGAAATGTATGCTTATGGTCTAGTACCAGATGTGATCGCTTACTCTTCCTTGTTGTATGGCTTATGCAGGCATGGTCATATTAATGAGGCATTGGGATTTTTTCGTGCAATGCTGACCAGTGGGTTAGAACCTGATATTGTCCACTATAATATCTTAATTGATGGCTTGTGTCTAGTTGGGCAACTTAAAGTTGCTTGGAAATAATTTTATGCACTCACAGTCAAAGGGGTACACCCTAGTGTTTACACATATAGTACAATGATCAAAGGACTTTGTAAAGAAGGGCTGCTGAATGAAGCATATGAATTGTTTAGGAAAATGGAAGCGGATGGTTGCATGCGAGATAGTTGCTCTTATAATACCATGATCCAAGGATGTCTTCACAACAACGACATATCACAGGCAATACAAATTCTTCATGAAATGGTTCAGAAAGGATTTTCTGCAGATGCATCCGCAGCCGCCATGGTAGTGGATCTATTGTGGAGTGATTCAACAGGTGAATGTTTTTGTGCACTAGTTCAGAAACTGTGAATGCTATCGAAGTGTTAATATGGAATAATCTCCTCTCAATCGACATTGCTGCAGTAAATCTAGACATGATTTATAATGTGTACCTGCTAGTAAATATGCTAAGCAGTCCCAAACTGGATAGTTCGGATTCATAAAGTTAAACCACCAAATAATGGTGGGGAGAGTTTCTGCTTCCCACTGTTGGCAGATCTTGAAATGGATATGGTAGTTGTAATTGTGGTTGAGTCTTGGAATCATAGATTTTAAGCTGTAGCAACAAATGATATTTATTGATGCACCTTTTGTTCTGTCCTGAATTACTAAATTGTTATTGTTGTAATCTAATTACATTTCGTTTTGAAATAGAGTTTTATGGATGGTGAGAATTGGAGGTGGAGAATTCCCTATAATCAAGGAATCTGATTACCTTGTTAATGGCGAATTTTGTGTTGACAAAGGTGCGTCTCCTAAAATGTTGAATTGCCTCCTGTAAGTTTTTTTTTTTTAATGTAATTTTCATTAGATCACAAATGATGGGAAGGCATTCCTCTACTCAATAACATCACATAAGACTCCTCAAAGAAAGTGCATATTTTGCAAGTCTGTGTGCTGCTCGTGTAAACAGCTTTGAACTGGTGGAATTCATAACTGAGTAGCTTGGCATCGTTTATCAGAGAAAAGTTTTGAGCTTCTGAGTTTAGCTGAAATGCTGAGTGCATCTCCCTCAATAATTACGGACTTGAATCCCATATCCTTTGTGACTACAATGGCCTTAATTGCCTCTAAAGCTCTGCAGTTATAGATCTCTGACTCGTTTTTCAGTAGTTGAGCATGTTCCTAAGACGAATCCAGTTTCACCCCTCATCACCACACCAAGTTCCGCATAAGCCTTGCTCTGGTGCTTTCCATCTAGCTACGTATCCCATAGTTAATTGTAGTGCTTATCTGGGCTCTTTTATAGTCTTCCAGATATTTGGCAATAAAGGCAGTTGTTTCCTCTGCTTTCCTGCTCATGTTGCTCTTAACTGCTAGATTCCTGCTACGCCAAATCGCCAAGCAAGCTACCGATCCAACTTGATACATTGGACAGCCATCCTTTCGAGCTTCATGTTCGCACATTTCCAGGTATCATCCACATTGACACTATCCCCATACTTCCCTTGCTAGAAGGTATCATCCGCATTGACACTATCCCCATACTTCCCTTGCTAGATTACAGCCTGACGCATGCGTCACTGTTTCTTCTTGTTGACCACATGTCGGATACATCATTTGAGCTTCAATTTTCGATTTCCTGAGGTTGCTAAAAACAAGTAGAATTCCATTGTTTAATCTCCAACCAAAAACTTTAATTTCGTTTGGAACATCCACCCTCCATAGCTTGTGTCAAAACTTGTCGTCTGCTTGTCCATCTTTCTGTTTCATTGCAGTTGTAACAGCAGAATATATCCGATTCAATGATATTCCGAGCCATCCAAATGCTTCTCCATGTGAATGATGGATTTGTGCCTAAGAAAAAGATGAGTTAGGAAGACCAATGAGTTTGGTTTTTTCAACAAGTGCCTCATGTAAATTCCTTTACTATATTTAATATTAAAATATTACTATAAATAATAATTTAATTAATCTTAAAAATTATTTTAACACTCTTGAGTAAAACCCTTTATTATTATTTATAATAAAATTAAAAAAATTTAAAAGTTGAGCTGTGTGAATTTATAAATGGGGAATACTAAAACGTAAAAAGGAAAGGAATGGACTACAATTTTTTTACTCAACAACCATTGGATTAACCCAAAAAAAAAAGTAAAAAAGAGATGTAGCAAATACTCATATCCTAAATTAAAAATAAATAAATACCCCACGAATGAAATAATTTTTTATAAATATATATTGTTACAAAATAAATTGCTTTGAATCGAATCTAACATACTTTGAATTAAATCTAAACTAAAAAACCAAAATGGACAGCTCAAATAGTATGAAACAATAGCTCGTATAAAGATTCAGCACTTATTTTATCTTTTCTCATATTTTGCATAAAAATACATCCAAAATGAGTTCAAAAGCTCTCATTTTTATCTTTTTCATATTTTTACCATTATATTGAATATTTATGCAATTAAAAGTAATTTTGTCAAATTTATTAATGAACAATCAAATATTCCTCATAAAATGTCCTAAAAAAATGATAAATTATTAAAAATTTAGTGTAATTATGTATTAACTGATTAATTTAACAAAAGAATAGTATCCATCGTATATCTATAGTTTGAAATCAATTTGATAGTTTTATCATATCATATCAATTTGAGAAACTTTTTTTTAAATATATATGTAATGACTAAAAGTTTTATTTCAGATAAATAGTTAAATATTTATATTGACTCAAAATTTGACGTACATTTATTTATATAAATAAAGTATGAAATAAAACAATTAAATTAAGTAAATATAATGTGTGTAAAAAATTATGAAAGGTATACAATTAAAGTATTTTTTCATCAATATAAGTAGAGATTTCCCCTTACATATATATACATACATAAACACTCATATTTGTCATCTAACAATTTCCTATGATTTTAAGCCTACAAATGATTTTTGTTACATTTTTTTTTATTTTAGAACTTTTTTCAAAGATATATATTTCTTAATTTTATATATTTTTTAATTAATTTTTACTTTAGGCACAATGTTCACATCTTTTAACCATTTTTAATGGCTATATAAAAACATAATTTTTTTCGATAAATATAATTCGACACATATAATTTTGCATGAGTAAAATGTATAAAAATATGTAAGTACTTCCTCCTCATATACATATATTTAAACTTATAAATGATATGTGCTGTGTACTTTTTGTTTTTTTATTTTTAATTTATAACTCTTCTTTCAAATGTACATATCATTTTATTTTTTGATTTTTTTAATTCGTTTTACTTTTAGCTCACATCTCCTATCTTCTTCAATGGTTATGTAAAAATATATTTGTCTTTTTAACAAAAAAAAAAATCTTTTTCTAATCAACATTCTATAATTTATGTAATAATTAATAAATTACTTCTTAATTTTTATAATAAAATAATAATCAATTAAAATATTTTAAAAAATTATTTTATTACCTATTTGAATAACCAATTTTTTAATATATTCAGTTATTTCAAGATAAATGTTCATTAATATTGCTCAATTAATACATAAAATAATTTTTCTCATTAAGCAACACATAAATCATGCTTTAAACTCTCAAACTCAAAATTAAAATATTTTTTTATGTATTTATAATTTTATTTTTTTAATTTTTATAAATATTTATATAATATATTATCTATGCAATCATAAAATTAAATAAATAAAACTAACCAATGCATCACACTGGTCATAAACAAATTTAAAAATATTATGTAAAATCTAAAATAATATAAATTATATCTAAATTCACTTTAGTATGAAATGATTTGAAATCGTACTAAAAAGTATTTGTTTCTTACATATTAATATTAACTTACATTCTTTAATATATATTAATATAATTATATAGTATACATTCTAACTACCAATAAAATAGCAGCTCATATGGCATATATGTTGGTGAAACTTTAAAAGTTTTAAGTTTTAGAAGATTTAGATGCGTAATGTACTTATTAGATGCATTAAATAGATAGAGTTTAGGATTAATAGTAGATTAAAATTAAAAGAAGTACATTCTAACTTACATTTTTTCACAATTAATCATTTATATTTATTTAATATATCTATACTACACTAGATTAAAAGAGCCCCCTAAGGATTCTTCGTGTGACACTTATCCAATGTTGTTAAATTATCATTGTAACCTTATTCATTGTTTTTGTTTTTAATTATTTTACTTTATTTGTATGTTTTATTTTATTTTGTTTTTATTTAATTATTTTTGTACTTTTAAATTTATTTTAATTTGTTACTTATTTAAATTTTAAATTAGGATAGATTTTGATTAGTTAAAAAATAATAATTCTTTAAATTTAAAAAATATAATAAAATTTTGAAAATAAATAAAAATATTCAAATGATGAAATTTTAATAATCAGAATGGTTGATTTTTTAAGAAAATTTTATATAAGATATTTTTTAAATTTTACCCAAACGAAAGAAAATTTTAGAAAAAAAATTCAATAATGATAATTGATATTAATTATTAAGCCAAAAATAAAATGTATTAAAATTTTGAAAAAAATAAAAAATTTTCAAAGATGATAAAATTTTGAAAATAAATAAAAATTATTTCAAAGATGAAATCCATAAAAATTACAAATAATTGGTTTTTTAAGAAATTTTTATATGAAAAGTTTTTTAAAATTTGACCCAAATGATTAAAAATTTTATATAAAGCTTTAATAATGATAATTAATATTTATTTTTAGGCAATAATTAAATAAAAGTGAGAAATTGATAAAAATAATAAAATAAATTTTAGAATTAAAATTCAGGCTTTTAAAAAAAATAAATTCATTTATACTAATGTAAAAAAAACATTAAATTCACTTATACTAATGTAAAATATATATATATATATAAATTCACTTATACTAATTTTTTTTTTACAATTTTTCAAATCATTT